TCAACAATGCCTGACAGGTACTGAGGAATGGTGATCGTGGCTCAGTGGTCTGCTGGTAAATGTTTAGCCCCAGCTCTCCATTTGCTGACTTCTAGCATTTGCCAGCTTCCTGCTGTCAATATTTTCACCGTGTCCAATTTTAAGCTACCAAGATGATATCTGAAGTTGGAGTTAGGGAAAGATGCCCCGCTGCACCGCCCCATATAGTATTTCTACCACACCTAGACACGTGGCCTAAATAACCTCAGTCTCATGGACAAAAGTACAATGTAGCAAAGCAACGAGGAGTTTTTAATATGAATCACCTTTGTTTTTAGCATAACTTATTTGATTATGAGTTTCTGTTATCTACTTCTTTTTTTTTTATCATGGCTGTGTTTAATTCCTGCCAATTTAACGGTTGATTTCCAGGCATTTCCATACATCCTCTGAAATCTAGGCAGAGGTTCCCAAAGCTTAACTCTTGTCTTCTGCACACCACATGGAAGCTGCCAATGCTTGGGGCTTGCACCCTCTGAAGCAAAGACCTGAGCTGTACCTTTTTTCCTTTTAGCCACGACTGGAGCTGGAGTGGCTGGGACATAGGGCACCAAGTCCTGAGGTTGCACAGAGCAGTGGGGCCCTCTGCCTGGCCCACAAACTATTTTTCCCTCCTAGGCCTCTGGGCCTTTGATGAGAGGGGCTGTTGTGAAGGTCTCTGACATGCCCTGGAAACATTTTCCCCATTGCCTTGGCTACCAGCATTTGGGTCCTCATCTCCAGCTGAGACCACCTTAGCTTGGACTTCATTGTCCATATCACTATCAGCATTTTGGTCAAAACTATCCAACAAGTCTCTAGGAAGTTCCAAACTTTCCCGTACCTTCCAGTCTTCTTCTGAGCCCTCCAAGCCATTCCAGCCTCTGCCAGTTAGCCAATTCTAAAGTCCTTTCCACAGTCTCAGGAGCCTTGTAGCAATGCCCCACTATGGGTTCTCCAGGGGGCCCCAGAACATCACTAGCATCCTACCTCTGGGTTTCCCTTAGATCCTGCTCCCCAGTCAACGCTGCATTGCTGTCATTCTCCTTCCCTTGAGTTAGACACCTGCCAAGTCCTATGGAGGTAAAGCTCATGGCATTGCCCTTATAAGGGAACTTATGAATTATTTTATCTGATAGACACAGGATCCTCCATATATGAGGGGACCTGGCTTCTTCACTAGCAGCTGGGCAGCTCATCACTCACATTTGTGTTTCTGCCACTTCTCTCACTCAGTGGACAACTCACCCAGAAGTTCTTGGGTTACCCAGCCCTAGGGGTGAGTCCAAAGGACTGTATATGAGGCCCTTGTCCTTGTCATGGAGGAAGTTGGCTGTGATCTAAGGAGAGGGGACACCACAGATTTCCTTCCCTCTCCTTCACAGACACAGAAGGCAGATCCCCCCATTCTCAGTCTCATCCCCATGCCTCCCTTTTGTTGGAGGACCTGAGCAAATCAGCCTTAAAGGGCTATAACACGTGACTAATTCAGCTGCTGGCAGAGGGAAATCAAGCATTTCAGAAAAGCTGAGCTCTCTGAACTTACTTAGGTTATTTGCAAAATTAAAGGCAATACAGTTTCAGCACTGAAAGTAAATAGCACCTTTGGTGACTACAATATGATTGCCCTAGGCAAGCAGAGATTTCTACACTGAGGTACACGCTGAAGTTTGTTGTAATCAAATATGCCGTTATTTCAGTAAGTGGAGCATCTTGCAGAGGACACTTACAGGTCCACTGGGGGACTTGGGTCTGATTACTGATGATACCCATGGCCAGTCTCCAGAAACCCACTCATTAATCCCGTCTTTTTAGGCTTTGGTTGTCTACACAATATACCATTTTATGTCTATGTTATTTTACACACTCAGTTGCCTCTCTCAGGAGTTCACTTTTCCTCTTCTCAGCCTATAAAACTGTTCTTTGGACCTCAAAAAGTCATTTCAACTTAACTTTTAACTTAATCAAAAGAAATGGGGCATTCCTTGAGAGCTTTGCCTTCAGGAACTCAGAGGAAGTCACACTGAGGTTTGACATAAGGATTTCTTCTTAAGATTTAGAACCATGCCGTGAAGAAAGGGGCTTCCTCCCACAGCTGGGAATGGTCCATCTCTGGACTTGGTTCAATGTAGTTTTGTCTACGTGTGGGTTCTGAGCTCCTTATGTTAGGTGTCGTGCCTTATAGATCTTTGTTTTTCCTGTACCTAGAATATAGTAGGTGTTCAATAAATGCTAGCTGTCATTAATCATGAGGTTTATATGAATTTGGAACATGAGTTAGCACGATAACCTAAACATGGAATGCCATCTTAGTTGATGGTAAGAAATATAGTCAACAGAGCAAGAGAAAAGGTTTCCCACTGCTCTACATCTCAGTTAGTTGTCTAAACTAGTACCACAATCAGTTCCAAGATGCACCTAACAGGAACCAAAAAAAGCAATATGGAAGGCAAGAGTTCTGGAAACTGTTTGATGCAACCTCCTATTTGTAAACCTGAATATTTTGGAGGGAATGCTTAGATATCTTTGCTTATCTGCTAGTCTGCCTGCATAACTGAAAAAGGCAGAACTGGGACAATGGGTGAAGGTTACAGGAAGTCATATTGAGGTTTGACATAAGGATTTCTTCTTAAAATCTAGAACCATGCAGTGAAGAAAGGGGCTGCCTCCCACAGCTGGGCATGCTCCATCCCTGGACTTGGTTCAAGCAGAGTCCCTAAGCCAGTCTGTTCAGTGTGTTGCAGTGGGGATGCCTGCACCAAGACAGAGGAAGATAGGCCTACATGACCTACTCCCTTGCCATTCCATGAGGCTGTGTTTTACTTACATCATGTCTTAAACCTGGGGAGCCTTTTATAGCAGCTACTTTGATTTGGAACCGGAATCCCAAGATTTCTCCCAGCAAGTTGCAAGATTTTTTAAAAATTATTTTTTCATTTCTATCTATCCAGGAGTCTCATTTGACATTATGCACATTGACAACCCTGCCACATTAAGACAAATGTCTGGAACCAATATATCTAGACATCTCTAGGTCACGTCCACATAGAATTCCAGCAGTGGGTCAGAGGCTGGGCCATTGATTGAAGTCACTCAAGAAGTTTAAAGTCAGACTAGGATGAGAGTCTTCAGGGTCTTTATCCTGGTTACTACTGTCTCTGGAAATGGGACCTGGGATAAAGGTCACCAAGGAAAGATGGCTCCAATAATAGCAAATGTGTCCCCAAATTCCCTCTTCCAATGCCTTTCACATTGTTGAGATTGGAACAAGGGCTTTCTTATAAATTTTCTGTTTGAAAATTCTACCAGCAAATTGTTTAGATCCGCGTTACTCAGATATTAATGTGCATAGGAATCACCTGGGGATCCTGCAAAAACGCAGATTCTGATTTAGGAGGTATCAGGTGGGACCTGAGATTCTGCATCTCCAATAAGCTCCCAGGAGATGCCAGTGCTGTTTCAAGCATCACACTTTGAAGAGCAAAGAACCACAGGCAAGGCTGTGGGGCAAGTCAGGTTGCGTGATGCTAGATTCCCTGGGGTGATTGCTGTGAAGGCCCAAGGCTAGTCATACCTTCCCCAAAACTGACCAGAGACCCCACTTCCAAGGAAATCCTATGAAAAACAGGCGATAGCCTGCTACAGGCTATTGATTATTTTTAGTTTTTTAAGAGGGGAATGTGCAGAGAAAAGAGAGTAGCAGGAAGGAGTCCCTGGGGAGGACACTGAGTGACTCCTGTGCTGATTATTTTAGGAGGAGAAGCTGAGGAAAAGTATCTGCATCTCAGAAGGAGGTAATTACTTTCCACTTAGCTCTTCAGTTTTTCAGGAAGTTTGCAAGGAGGGCAAGTAATTAGTCTCTTGAGAGGTGAAAGAGACAAGTTTTCAGGATGAAAAACTTCTCCCTGCTGGTCTTTACAGCAGAATCAGAAGTATCTGTCCACTTTTGGCAAGGCCCACAAATGCAAAAATGTACTGTGGTGGTTGAAAAAGAAAACACATATATGTTAGAGATCAAGCTAAAAGACAGAGACAGTAAGACAGTGGTGCTTCCAGGCTCTGTGTCCTGGAATGCTTCCCCTACAACCATTCTTCATAGTCTTGGCCCTGTGGGGCGGCTCCCATCCTGTGACTCCACACTGCAAATTATGAGCAGGGCCTCTCCTCTAAGGATCCTGTGGACAGAGCCAGCTTCAGAAATGAGAGGAAGTTTGCATCTACTCTTTGCCCCACTTTGCCAATCCTAGCCCAGCCCAGTTGAGACTCAGTCTAGTAAAAGAAATCAGACCCGGAGCTCTTCCTGCCGCTACCATCTTCCCGTGACTTCCCACACCATCCAGATTTCCAAGGAATGCCTCTTATCAGCCCTCCCATCCCGTTACCCACAACACCAGTCCCACTCCATTTACTCCTTCTCATCTGACTTCTACCATATTTGCTTCTACCATCCAGGGGCCCTGGTAATCTGGCCAGGCTGCTCTCAGGAAACCCAACCTCAGAAGGCCTGGGCAACTGGTCCTCTTTCTGGAACTTGGATCTAAGGTTCTACAGTAGAAGGGAAGTAGTGGCCCATGGGAAGGGCAAGGCAGCAAGTCTGAGAGTGTGGATGCAACTCAGCTTTTCCCCACTCTCATGTGCATGAAAAAGGTAAGGCCTTCATGACTTTCTATAAGAGGGTTGGAGGAGTGGCTCCCAGAGAGCCATTTCTGTGGAAAGGCAAGAGGCTCTGGGGCCAGATGGAAGAAGTGGGCAGCCTGGGTGTGAGGGGTGCTTCCATCCAGGAGCAGTCAGGCCGAGAGAGGAGAGCCAACAGAGGCACATGGCTCCTCCTGCGTTGGGGTGCCAGGCCTCTCTGCTCTTCTTAGAACACCTCCCATTTTCAGAACTCTATCCTAGACCTTGAAGCCAGGTCCTGAAAAGGAAACATACCCAAAATAAAAGTTGAACACAAACTTAAAAGAATGCAAGCAAAACCATAGAGCTGAGAAAGAGAGGTTTTAATAGGACATTTTAATAATAGCTACATTTACTGAGCTCTTACTTAATGTACTAGACCCTGCACTAAGAGTCTTACTTGTTTGGATTATCTCTTTTAATTAATATCGTCCCATTGTACTGACTCCACATTCCCTATCCATTCCTTAACTATCTCAGGCACACAGAAACTTGCCTTTGAGACATTCTCACAGTGTGTGTCCATTAGTTCTCTGCAGTGCAAGAGAAGAAACTTGCATGAAGATGAGAGAGCAGGAGAAACAGAAAAAAAGAGAGTGAGGAGCTCCAGCTTAGGCATGTGGGTGCCCCCCTGCAGCAAGTCTACTCCTCATGACTTGTCAGGTGCTCTCCAGCCCTGTCAAGGGCTCACTCTTTCACCTACAGGCTGCTGGGTCTCTAAGGAAGATCTTTTTGGTCACATCCTCAATGACCTCCTTGACCTTTTCATTCCGGAAGGTAAAGATGAAGGGGTTGAGGAAAGAAGTTACCACTGCAGTCACCAGGGCCACCACCTTGTTGAGATGTGTGGAGTGGCCCTTGCCTGGCCTCATGTAGATGAAGATGGCACTGCCATAGCCCAGCACCACCACTGTGAGGTTAGAGGCACAGGTGGAGAAGGCCTTCTGGCGCCCAGAGGAGGAGGGGATGTACAGCACTGCAGCCACAATGAGGACGTAGGAGAGGATGATGAGCAGCATGGTGGTCAGCACAAAGAGCAGGGACAGGAAGAGAACCATGCACTCAATATGGTGGGTGTCAGAGCAGGCAAGCTTGAGCAGCGGGGCAGAGTCACAGAAGTAGTTGTCGATGATGTTAGGGCCACAGAACCAGAGCTGTATTTTCTGCATTGTGGGAGAGACAATGGAGAGGAAACCAACCACCCAACAGGCCACCACCAGCTTCACACACACTGAACCATTCATGATGGTTGGGTAGGGCAGGGGGCGGCAGATGGCCACGTAGTGGTCAAAGACCATGACCGTGAGGATCAAGATGTTGGCAGAGCCCAGGGAGAAGTAAAAGAAAGACTGGATTAGGCATTTAGCCAGAGACATCGTCTTGTGAGTGGATAGCAGGTCTGCCAGCATCCTAGGTACCACAGTGGAGGTGACCAGCATCTCCATGAGGGACAAGTCGCAGAGGAAGAAGTACATGGGTAAGTGAAGGTGGGAGTCAAGGCAAGTGAGGCTGATGATGGCCAGGTTGCCCAGCAGCGTCAGCACATATATCAACAGGATCAGAGCAAACAGCAGGACCTGGAACTCATGGAGATGAGAAAATCCCAGGAGCACAAACTCCCTGACAATGCTATAGTTACCCACTGCACTTGATGCCCATTCTATGTGACACCTGTGAGGGGTTGAGAAATGTTAGCAGGAGATTGCCATCAACCTCTTTCTCAATCAGGTCCCCATAGTGCTGGCCTGGCTCCCCAAGCACACCAGCCTGTGTGCACAGTGGACCCCAGAACACCCATTCCCAAAAGGCAGGATGAGCAGATTTATGACTTGGCCACCTCTACATTATCGCCACTCTTAAGCTCTTCCTCTTCTGTCTTCTACTCATTGATTATATTGTAAAACACAATAAGCTCCAACTCTGTGCAAGACATTTGACTGGGTCTGAGGATGAAGGGGTAAGCACTTCCTAACTGCCAAATCTAATGGTCTGTTGTTCAAATAATAGCTGATATTTACTGTTCTTTCCCTGTGCCAGAAAGTGTGCTAGATACTTTACATTATTTCCCTCCATCTTTTTTGCTGAATCCTCATCCTCTTTTTCTTCTCTATAACATTTGAGGCCACAAATAACCCATTTTTGAAGTCACTTCCACCCTTGACTGCAAGGACCCTGCACTCTTGAATTTCTCCTACCATCCTGGGTTCCCTCGTCTGCCTCCTCTAGCTCCCTGTCTTTCTGCCATTTTCTAAACACGGATGTCCCCACATTTCTTTTCTTATCTGTGTTTTAAAAATTCTCTTTTTTCTCCTTCAGAAATCTCATATACTTTAACCAAAGCAATCTTTAAAATGCAAATGAACTTCAAATCTGGATTTTGTCCTCCTCTGAGTCCCAGCCCACATCTCTAACCACTAGATTGACCACCACCACACATTCAACACATCTAAAGATACACACATAGTCCTCCCCTCCTACAAAGGCCATGTTTATGGCTCCCAATTCCCCAGTCATCTAGGCTGGAAACTGGAAGAATCTAGCCTTCCTTTGTTTATCCATAGCCACCACCCAAGTTCAAGGATCTGTTTCCTCTTAACCATTGCAATAACATTCTTAATTTTTTTTATTGGTAGATTGCTCAATCACCAACCTATCCATGCACCGTACTGCTATTATATTTTATTTTCTTAACTTATTGTGTCAATCAACTGTTTTTAATAATCTGTAACAAGGCTGGGCGTTGTGGCTCACACCTGTAATCCCAGCATATTGGGAGGCTGAGGCGGACAGATCATCTGAGGTCGGGAGTTTGAGACCATCGTGGCCAACATGAAGAAACCCCTTCTCTACTAAAAATACAAAATTAGCCGAGTGTGGTGGCACGCACCTGTAATCCCAGCTACCCAGGAGGCTGAGGCAGGAGAATCGCTTGAATCTAGGAGGTGGAGGTTGCAGTGAGCTGAGATCATGCCATTGCACTCCAGCCTGGGCAACAAGAGTGACACTCTATCTCAAAAATAAATAAATAAAAATAATCCTTAACAATGAGATTTCATTTATAATTACTTTCAAAATCAGTCAAACTATCTAGCCATCTATCTTCATCCAGAAAAAGAGTAAAAAGATGCATTTTAAAATATTAACAATGGCTATATCTGGGTATGCATTAAAGGAATTTACTTTTTAAAAATCTTGTATTGAAATTACATATATTTAAACTGTTGTATTAGTCTGTTCTCATGCTGCTGTAAGGACACACCCAAGACTGGGTAATTTATAAAGAAAAATTTATAAAGAAAAAATATGAAAGAAAAAAAAGAAAAATTTATAATAAAAACACAGTTTGGCATGGCTGGGGAGGCTTCAGGAAACCTATGATCATGGCAGAAGGGGGAAGGGGGAGCAAACACGTCCTTCTTCACATGGCAGCAGCAAGGAGAAGTGCAGAGCACAGGAGTGAAAAAGCCCCTTATAAAACTATCAGATCTCGTGAGAACTCACTCTCTATCACGAGAACAGCATGGAGGTAACCGCCCCCATGATTCAATTACCTCCCATTGGGTCCCTCCCACAACATGTGGGGATTATGGGAACTATAATTCAAGATGAGATTTGCATGGGGACACAGCCAAACCATATGAAGTGTATATCATGAGGTTTGGATATAAATACACATAGTAAACTTATTGCTACAGTCAAGCTAATTAATCTATCCATCTCTTCATATAGTTACCATTTTTCATGTGTAGTGAGATGACCTAAGAGCTACCCTCTTAGCAAATGTCAAGTATACAATAGAGTATCGTTACCTGTAATCCCTATGCTGAACATTAGATCGCTAGAACTTACTCTTCCTACCCAACTGAAACCTTGTACCCTCTGTTTTTCTATATGTATACATTCATTTCCAAATTCTCTTCATTTAAATTTGAATTCTCTTCATATATTATTTTAGTGATCAAAAAAAATTAACAACAACAATCTCTTCCTTTTTCAGTCAAATCAAGCACAGATTCTCCCTGGCATCTCCTGCCCTACATGACTCTGCCCATTCACCACCCCCCATAGCTTCACCCCCAACTCCTTGTTACACACTTTTTGCTACCACCAAACTGAACCCCTGCTATTCTCCATAAGTTAATTCCACTTTGCCTTCACACACTTCCCTTTTTATTCCTGTGCTTAGAATACTTTGTTCTGCCATCTTTGCCTGGAAAATTCTTAATCACCCACCAGGGACTATCTGAAATGTCCCCTTGTTGATGAAGCTTCATCCCCTATCCAGATGTGAAGTCATCCTGCCTGCAGTTCCCAATCAGGAAAGTTAACACAATCTGCCTTGTATTATAATTGTGTACCAGTCAGATTCCAAATCCTGGATTCCTAGCTTCTCAGTGTCAGGGCTCTTTTTTCATCTTTATAACCCTCAGAATGCCAAGCAACATTTCTTATACAGTGTAACTACTCATTATATTTTGGTTAAACAGGCCCGGTGCAATGGCTCACACCTGTAATCCCAGCACTTTGGGAGGCAGATGTGGGAGGATTGCCTGAGGCCAGGAGTTCAAGACCCAGTCTGGGCAACATACAGAGACCCTATCTCTACAAAAATTAAAAAGTTAGCCTGGTGTGGTGCTGAATGCCTGTAGGCTGAGCTACTTGGGAGGCTGAAGTGGGAGCATCACTTGGGTCCAGGAGGTGGAGGCTGCAGTAAACTGTGATTACAACACTGCACTACAGCCTGGGCCACAGAGGAATATGCTCGCTCAAAATAATAATAATTTTGGTTAAACAAATGAATGAGCACATATGTTGGGTTTTCATTTCTAGTCCTGCGAAGAAAAGTTTTGCCAGATGGAAACTCATATTTTCTTCAATGATGATGTGTATGTGTAATGTGGACTTTAACAAAATGTAATGGGGCAATCACGACCCCACAGTTTCTTATCAGAAAGCTAAAATGAGACCAGTACCAGCAAGGCAGCATCCTGGAATCAAGCACGCCATTATTTCTGCAGCAAAGTACACACATATTCACACTCAATGAAATAAAGGCAGAAATGGCCTCAGCATTCAAAGCATTTTGATTACAGAATTGTGGATAAAGGGTTGGGAATGGGTAGACCCCATCCACTGAGGGCCCACCATGCACTGGCTCCCATGCCACAACGATGCTGTGAAATCGTTACCAACTTCATATCATAGATGATAAAAACTGAGGCCTGGAATGTTTAAGGATCTTAATCCTAAGTCATATGGTCAATAAATGTTGAGTTGTGATTTGAATCTATAGTTTTCTAACTTCAATATCTATTTGTTTGTACTAATCAAAACTTCAAGTATGTGGAATCTGCAAAGTGTTGAATCAAGCACAGTGCCATAGCAATCTCTGAACACAGAACTCAAAGCTTATTGCTTTTATATATATGAATAAAAATGCTTATAGCTACAAAAAAAAAAAAACTATTTAATACATGGCAAATGGATGAATGTAGTAAAGTCCCACAATCAGCTGTGTACTATCAGTGATAGGTAGGAGATGGGGAGGTGTCCCTTTCCCAGCAGAAAGATCTAACTTGAGTCTCAAATGCTATTGTAAGACTGGTTAGAGGTGCTCCAAACAGGGTCAGCCCTCAGCCCTCCATCTCTTATTGGGAATCCATGACAATCCAGAAATCCAGGAAGCTGCTGTTCCTCCAATTACCACTTCCCAGACTGTGACCTCACCCCTTTTCAGCTCCCATATTGATGTCCTTCATATTCTTCAGGTGTTACAAATTCCTAAGCCAGAATGAGAAATTCAACTCATGGGCCTATTTTGTGTTTTATTTGCCACCTGCCACTCACAAAGCAACATCTTTCTACCAGATTTCAGAGACATCACGTCTTGAGGCTTTCCGATCTAAAACATCTCAGGTCTTGGAATCAGAGGTCAAAGGGGGATTCTAAGATAACCTTTGAGTCAGGAGTACCCCAGTTCACGCGGCAGGCTTGGCTTCATACCACGCCAGCTGGCCTCCTTTTCAAACTGGCCTCCACCGTAGCCCCCATTTTTGTGTCCTTGCCCTTCACCCCTCATCCCAAACCCTCTTGCATTTCTCTTCCCAACCTCTGTCCAGCCACTTAAACTTTTAACCCTTAGTTTGTTTTTTCCCTGTTCAAGATCTCACCTCTCCTCTCAGGTTTGATGACTGATGCTCCTCTCTTCATACAAAATTCATGCCAGTCACTTCCTCATGAGGCTTCAAGACTCTGAGTCACAACACGCCCCCCAACCCCTTCCAATTCAGCAAGCCTCAGGACAAGTCCCTGGAGTATGTCTTAGGACCTTTTGTGCTTGTTCAAAAGTTTTACATTCCAAGTTTTTATTTCAGAAAACTCATTGCTAGCTACAAGTGAAGTTAACATAGGTAAAGTGTAACTTGAATAGACTTTTTTCTGCATCAGAGTCTTTGACAGAATAGGTTTCCCTCAGTGCAGGCTCTCCTTGCTACAGAACAGATCCTCCCTCAGGCCCAGGAGTCCTGCATTCCCAAGATTCAGGCAAACTCAACTTGTCCAACCAGTAGACCATACAGTGCTCAATCAAAACAGGCCAGGCACAGCCTTGGCTGTTACAGAGTGGCCTGGTCAAGGCTGTGTTTAGCTCTTTAGCATATGCTTTGGACAGCATCCCACATTAACTGTACTTGCAGCCTGGACTCCCCAGAGTGCCCTCAGCTCCCCTCACTCATTCCTGTTAAGGATCCTTGCTGATAAGAGATCCTGTTTATCTTTCTAAGTCCTTCATGCAGGTTTTGCAGTTCACAGCTCTGTTAAAATGCCAACTAGCAGAGCGCTTCCACATCCCCATATAATATAATAATCCTCCAGAGACTTGGAGGATTTGAATGTTCTCTCCTGATGGTGTATCTTTCTCCCTCTCCACATTAACTCTCTCAGTCCTCGTAGCTGAATTATCCTTGTGCCTTTTGACTCCTGAAACAATGTTTCTGCTCCAGAAAACGACCGTTTTTGACCCACTGGGAATGCAGAGGGGGTAGCAGTACTGCCACCCTGGTTCTTTGTGGCAGTGATGTCCATCATCAGTGCCCTGGGGGCATGCCGAGCTCCTCAGTGATGGAAAGAGCAGGGTGAGGAATGAGAAAGAGGAGAGCAAGGAAAGTACCTGAACAACCCTCACTGTTGGCAGGTCTTTGCAAGGGGCAGGTGGCCAAGGGAGGACATAGAGGTAAACAGCTCCCTGAGGCTAGCAGGCCAGCTAGCAGCAATAATTAAAAGCAATGAAAGATGCAAAAGCACCATGCACTAAGCAGACAAAGATCTAGGGAGGCTCAAATAGAAAAGAGACACTGCAGGACTAGATCTAGACGGAGCTTTCCCAGCCCCAGCCTCAGGAAGGGACAAAAGAAGTGGGTGGGACAGAGCTCCTTAGCTTCTTCCCCAGGGGGAGGGCAAAATGGGACCAATGCAGGGGGTGGAGTCCTGTCATGATGAAATGCAATGCTGCACCTAATGTCAGCAGTAGCACAGTGAGCAGGAGGAAATAAGCAACTCAATCATTCATTCACTCACTCATTCAGAAAGTCATGGACAATACCAAATACTGCTGGTGCTCTAGGAATGCAGTGCTAAAAACAGTCCTGGGTTTTACCATTCAATTGCAAAAACAGACAGTAAGTAAGTTTAAAACAACAAACTGCGATAGGTGCAATGAAAGGGGCATGACAGAAAGGCAGGAAAGGGGAGGGAGACTCAACCATGTCAGGTCACATCCTGCCACCCAGATCC